AGCACCTGCCCCTTCTGAGATAAGACCTGTGGCTCCAGAACTGGGCTGCTCAGCCATCAATTGATCCACAAATAGGAGGGTCACAGGAAGACGTCCTATTCGTTATTGAGTGACCACCAAGATGTATAAATGACTTACAGAAACAACACACACTTTGGTTTAACATGGTGCCCTGCTGAATGACACTGGGCAAGTCATTTGCCCTTTCTGTCCTTCAGTTACCCCATCTGTAAAATGGGACTAATGAGCCTACCTTCTTTGTAAAGTGCATTGAAATCTAAGGGTGAAAAGCAGCATAAAAGAGATGGTGGTGGTATTATTATTTGGGTTATAAAACTTGCTACCCAGATAATTAAACAAGATAAAATTCAATGTTTTGTATTCTCATTTACATTTGTAATATATTTGTCTTGCTTATTAATTGGAATGAGAGTTAGAGATATCACTCTAAAGGTAACACAAACTTAAGCGTAAAACACTTGAACCTCTGGGAAACAGAGTGCGCTGGATTAAAGATTTTGCCAGATCAGGAAGGGCGCTGCGGGGTCTGGGCGAAAGGGGGATGGAGGTGAAGCACTTACCTGGAGGCCTTCTCCTAGTGGCACACATGGCTCTATGCCCCCACTGCTTCCAGGCCTACTCCCTACAGACGTCCTCAACATTAAACTGAGTAAGCAGGCCCAGAGAATAAGATAACCACTTTCTCACTAACTTACGTGGGCCCATTTCTTCCTCCACATCTCAGTGCTGTATCTCTGACATTCCTTCTGGACCCATTGGTGGCATTTCAGGTGCCCGGTAATGTCACAATATGCAGTGCCGTTTCCTCCAAATTCATTGTCCACTTTAAACAACCACCGTTTCACTCCCAGGTTATCTACGATTAGCTGACTCAGAACTTCAAGCATCTATGGATCAAAGAGCAGGATCAAAACAAAGGGAATGGCTTCAAAAACAGTTTGAATTAGGCATCATTAAGGTGCTCATATATTTTGGTTTAAAATTTGTTTTAGAACACACTTAGAATTAGGGTTTCTAGCTCCAGGTTCAAACCAGTTTTGCCATTATTCACCAAGCCTCCTTCCTTTCAAAAAAGCAGAGATACTGGTAATAAATAGTTTAGATGTTCACGTAAAGCACACCCAAAAAATTGATAGCTGGATGCAGCCCTCAGCTTCCCTGGATCTGGCCTGAGAGCCGTCCATGCCACAAAGTCTACTAGGCTGGCCCTCCCAAAGCTCTGGTGTGGAAGGAGAATGTGGGGAACGTCTTTCTCCTCAGTTGAGGACCACACTGAAGGGTTTTTTTCCCCACTTCTCACTTGTGTGTGGTCCCCGACTGATTTTTCTGTGGGTCAGTGGCCTCCGACCCATAAATGGTTCCCCACCCCTGCCCTACTCTCTCAGTTCCTTCTTGCTGGTTTGTTCGGACAGAGGGGAGGCGGGTGGGATTTGGAATGGACATGAGCAACACACCTCGCGGAACAGCAGTTACGAAAGGTAAGTAACCGTTTTTCATTCTTCAAGTGATTGCTCATGTGCGTTCCAATATGTGACTTGCCAGCAGTTTCCTGGGGGGGGGGGGGGGGGGGGGGCGAAAATCCTCCCTGCCAAATGCTGAGTCGTTCCACACGTGCTGGTGTAGTGCAATGTGAAGGTGTGGTCAGACGGCCGCGTGTCCTCAGTCGGAATACTCTCGAGAAATGCCGCCAAAGAGGTCGGGGCTCTGGTGGAAGAGGCAGTCAATGGAAAGGATGGCACCTTCGCTAAGTGGTAACATGTCCTGATACAGGACGTGAGCCACTCGGAGAGGAGATAGGAGACCTTTCATCCTCTCTGCCAGTGCAATAAAGAAGTATGCGGACTTCCTAACTGTTTTGTACTGTCGCTATATAAAGTGAGAGCATGCCGGATGCCCAGGGAGAGCAGCACATGCTTCTGACCACTGGCATGAGGCTTCAGGTAGAAGACAGGCAGGAAGATAATCTGGCTAACATGAAAATGGGAGACCACCTTAGGCAGAAAGGTTAGGTGAGGCCATAATTGTATTTTGTCTTTATGAAACCCAGTATATGGGGCTACTCGGAAGACCACCTTTCACAACAGGTCTGCCAAAGGACAAGTGGCCAGAGGCTCAAAGGGAGGGCCCATCAGTTTGGTGAGCACAAGGTTCAAGTCCCACTGGGGAATGGGCTGCCCGACTGGCAGGTACAGTTGGTCAAGCCCCTTGAGAAAATGGGTTACCATGGGCTCTGTAAATACAGAGCAACCCTGACTCCCCACGTGGAAAGCAGAAATGGCCGCAAGGTAAACCCTTATAGAGGACAGTGCTAGCCCTCGCCACTTTAAGCACATGAGGTAGTCTAAAATGACAGGCAGGGGGGACCCCTGAGGTCGGAGCCCCTTGGGCTGACACTACACAGGAAAACTGTTTCCATTTGGCTTAGTAAGTGGCCCTGGCAGATGGCTCTCTCTGACGGGACTGGAGCAGCCCAGCTCTGTGGGGCTCAACCATGGAGAATCCATGGTGTGAAGTGGAGGGATTCCAGGCCGTGGTCCTGGGTGATGAGATCCCTGCAGAGGGGAAGGGTTACGGGAATGGCCCTGGAGAGGCTCAACAGAAGAGTGAACCCGTGTTGTGGGGAGCACACTGGAGCTGTGACCAAGGCCCTGAGGCTGTTCCAGCGACTGTCACCAGCAGTAAGAAGGAACTGAGAAGGCGGAGCGTTGGCTGTGTCTTACATACGCTGCCAGAGCAGCGCCATGCTGGGGGCTCCACGGCCGACTCTACAGATACCACTGGGGTAACAGCTTTCTGGAGACTATGCACACGCATGTGCACGCACACGTATCGACACGCACATGAGCAATCACTCCAAGAACCCTTTTGGTTCAGGAACCTATGGCCCCAATTCTGAAATTGGATCCACACAAAAAGTCCTGGGATCTCCTGCAGACCCACAGAAAGGTCAGTAGGGTTCTGTGCCAATGCAGTTTGCCTACGTGGAGCTCATGGCTGGACCACAGCTATTAGTTCTGAACGCTGAGTACTCAGGATGTGGCTCAAAAAGGGTTGCTGGTGGCAGCGCTAGATTATTTTCAAAAGTCTCTCTAAAAACCTTCCTAGCGTCAGATTCTAATACCAAACATCTGAGA